CAGGGCATCTACAAACCCAGATTGCCAGCTGTTTGCTGTTGCTCTAAGAAGTTGCTGACAGGGGCCTTAACGGTGTTGCATAGTGTGAAGTAGTGAATAGGGGGTAGCATGTAGTAGTGTGAAACCAAGCAGAGATCGGCCAGATAAGAAGAGGGAAGATGACCTCTAAGGAAATGTGGACCATACTGATCGCAAAGATAATCATCTAACCAACCTTCCCTGTAGACATCGCAATAAACATTAACTTCGTTACATCAACACTAGGGTGCAAGGAAAGTTTGGAAGAGGAATTCTTGGCAGTCCAGCAACAATTAACAACCCGCTTGCAAAGCGACCGTTTCGTAGTATCTCCACAAGTCATCGAACTGTACCAAGCCCAGAAAGTAATGCCCTGACACGTTTTGAAGTAATTCAAGATGGCTCAAAAGTGAAATATTGTAGGTGAGAAGGATATGCTCTCATTCTCCTGCAGAAATGGCTCTTACCACAGGGACGTGACTCATTTCAGACTTCTTGAATAAGGTCGTGTCTGCAGCTAACCGAATCTTATTCCATAAAAGCAGACAGTTTGAAAATAGGGGATGAGTGGCTATCTACATTCGCGCATATCTGAAGGCCAAAAAGACAGATTATACACTCACTCATTCACCAAACTCCTTGAGGCAACATTTCCCTACGAACTCCACGAAGTACATTTTAGGAGCCACATGTATGTGACTGATGTGTGCAACAGGACATGAGGAAATGGTGCGTAACACAATTTTTCCGTCTACCTCGGTCAAGTATGATTACGTAGTCCTTTCTGGTGATCTTCAAATACCAACCCTTAACTTCGAATTAAAAGAGGGGTGCAGATAAATACCTAACCATCAGATAATTCAAAAAGCTTCTCTGATAGCAGATGAAAAAGGATAACGAGCTGCTTACGTTCTGACGAAAAATAATCTATTCGTAGACTATGTCAGAGTTCAGCTCATCTTGACAAAATGTATTCAAGCATTAATAAAATCTAAGATGTTAATGCTACATACCCTGATTTTGCATAGCTTTTGCCTCCTTTTCTGCCCGTGATCTTAATGTAACCTACATGGCAGTTTTCCCACCGTTGTTAGTTTTTCTCCCCTCTGCTCTCAAGGCTGAACTCTCATTGGTTGTTTATTATTTTAACCTATACGTGGATTTAGTGTTTTCAGGGTAGTTTGGAAATGCATATATTCAGTATCGGTCTCAACTGTATTGGCTGGTGTTAAGACAATAAAAGATCTGTGTCAACAGTCTCTCTTCTCTTGTTATCTTCACTAGTCGGTGACATTGTTATTGTGGTGGTTGACGTTCTGATATGCTTTAAAGTCGATCGTTGTGCGTTAGCTTCGTACCACTTGTAGACTATTGGCTCACACTACCGGTCACGGCAGGTAACCAATCAGAAACTACCAGCGTCTAAACATTGGACTTTTCGTTGTTACGGAAAAGTGGACCAACAGGTCACAAATCGCCGATACATAAATCCACTATGGCCACAAGTATGATGCTCTCTTCCGATGGATAAAAATTGGTTACATATAAATGGCAGTATCTACAATGCTATTACAAAAGGTGTGCGGGAAGTAAGCCGACAACCAACCACCTTTAAAATGTTCATGGGTGACTTGTTCGACAACATGGCAGCCAAGCGAGAAGGAGAGCGTCTTAAAAGAGCTGGCCATCTGATTAGGAAGTGGATTCCCAAAGAGTGGTTTAAACTCAAGGGTGATTTACCCAAGCAATTAAGTTGTAACCTGAAAGCCAATAAGGACTTATATCTTGATGGAAACGGAAGAGTGAAGGTTTAAGCCCTATCACAGACCCAAACGGTGAGAAGTTGAGTAGCGTGGCCGCATCGGATCAACTGAACAATTAGTTTGACGAGTAGCGCAATACAGTAACCTATTAGCCACCAAAACCTAGTAACTTAAAGCAGCTCTAGGAACGTGATGCAATGCTGGGGGATTTTGAAATCTTGTCAAAGCAAGTGCTTGCAGTTTTATCCACTAGTCAGACCAAGGAAATCTCCCGGCTGTTGTGACATAAGATCAAAGGGTCATAAAAAATTGGGACCACGCGCTGAGCGTGCTCCTATTCAGCCTGTTTGCAGACTCACTGGAAGTAATTTGACTCCACAAAGGGTGAAAGAGAAGCATCCTTCCATTACACTTCAAGAATGAAGACCGAGAAAACCTACGCAGTTACAGTCCATGGAGGAAAGATAGTCACTTCTTGTACAACGGGTATTAGTTATTACTATTTAATGAAGTCATCAAAGCCAGGATCGGAAAAGCAAGACAGGCTTTCATTAACCTGAAACAAGTGTGGAGATCTAATGGAGTCAGCATAAAGCGTTAACAACATCCGGATTTTCAACACTAATCTCAGTCAAGTCAGTGCTTCTATGTGATGGTGGAGAAACTCTGAGCGTTACGAAAAGCATTCCCAACAAACCACAAGAGATATTCATCAAGAACTGCCTACGCTCGTTACTGAAGATCAGATCAGACGGCCAGAAAGAATAAGCAAGAAGGAACTGTGGTCTGGCAACAAACCAACCGAGAACCTATCACCCAACAAATATGCACTGGAAGGAAGTGGAGATGGATTGGACTGGGAATACACTGAGAAGACGCTTTAGGGACATCACGTGCCAGGTCAGGAAGGCGCTAGAGTGGGACCAGCATGGGAAACAACGAGTTGGGCGTCTGATGTGAGGGTGACATTGATGAGATGGTGTTCGGAATAAATGAGAGCTTCTGGGCAGTAGTGTAGCCAGGTTGAAAGACTGGAGAGAACAGAGTGGAATGGAGACGTGCTACTGAATCCCTATATTCGACTAGGAACCCAATAGACAATTATAATAAAAAAAACCATATGAACAGTAATCACACTGCTTTCGGCATTTGATTTTTATTGGTATACGACCTCATATGAGTTGTTGTGACTGATAGTAAGATTCCCCATATCTCTCATATAGGTGTTACATGATGCCCTTTACATATGTTGCGAGTTGGTTCATTCGATGAACAAAGATTCAGTAATCAATCTCTCTCCCTCTCTCTCCGCCTAACTACACTGGACTTAATTAAGTACAGTGGTTTTATCCCACCGTCCCTTTTGTGTGGCTTTGTGTTGTTAATGTATGCATTGCAATAGCCGAGTTGCCGTCTAGATTATTCATCTTATTGGAGCATAGCCTGATGGTCGTAAGGACAGTTACTCAACGATGATATTGGGTGGCGGTTGCGCTGTATCGTGAGCTAACAGAAGTTGGAAGTATGGAGCATTGGATTCTGACCCAGTGGCTCAATGGTGACGTGCTGGCCACGGAACCTGAAGGTCGCGGGTTCGAATCCTGGTGGTGCGGGGTCGTGGGTGCACACTGCTGAGGAGTCCCACACTAGGATGAAACAGCTGTCCAGCGCTCCCAGGTTTCCTTTGTTCCTCCAACTGATATCAGTCTACGATGAATAACATCCTGAAATTATTGGAGTGTATCATTTTCTATTTAGCTAGGAATTTACCTAAATACTGTATTTAAGTCCAATATACTTAGGTGGAGAGAGACAGAAGTTGATTACTGGATCTTTGTTCATCGAATCAATTAACTCGCAACACAACACAACACCTATATACCAGAGATATAAAAGATTTCACTACCAATAAAAGCAAAGAATATGAAGTGGATGATAGGAGTTTAGAAATCAGATGTCGAAAGTCGTGTGATTACTGCTCATATAAGCGGTAATAATTTATGCTTGAAAGGTCATCAGGTTAATAATACTTTGTCAGGGAATGTTATAAATCAAGTAGTGTGAGCGAAGAAATATTTCTTTTCCTTTTAATTATAGGTTATCTATATTAAAGTATCAAGTAGGTGATAATCAATCAGGTAATTAATACAATTAACTAAAGCATAAATTAATTATCGCGAAAAGATTTTGTGAAACTTTAAATAAGTTCTAATATAGTAATGATGGGCAGTGGCTAACAGTGGAATCCAGGATGCGCAAGCAATAACACGAAGGTTGTAATATATTACTATTTATTGACATACTTGGAATTCCCCGTTGTTCCATCGGATCGAATTGTTTGACCTCCTATGCGGATGGCTCAATATTACCTGAATGAATAGAGGTCGAAGAATTAGATGCAATGAAACAACGGAATATTACAAGTACGTCATTATATTATTATTGTTTGTCCATTGGGTTCCTAGTCGAATATAGGGATTCAGTAGCACGTCTCCATTCCACTCTGTTCTCTCCAGTCTTTTCAACCTGGCTACACTACTGCCCAGAAGCTCTCATTTATTCCGAACACCATCTCATCAATGTCACCCTCACATCAGACGCCCAACTCGTTGTTTCCCATGCTGGTCCCACTCTAGCGCCTTCCTGACCTGGCACGTGATGTCCCTAAAGCGTCTTCTCAGTGTATTCCCAGTCCAATCCATCTCCACTTCCTTCCAGTGCATATTTGTTGGGTGATAGGTTCTCGGTTGGTTTGTTGCCAGACCACAGTTCCTTCTTGCTTATTCTTTCTGGCCGTCTGATCTGATCTTCAGTAACGAGCGTAGGCAGTTCTTGACGAATATCTCTTGTGGTTTGTTGGGAATGCTTTTCGTAACGCTCAGAGTTTCTCCACCATCACATAGAAGCACTGACTTGACTGAGATTAGTGTTGAAAATCCGGATGTTGTTAACGCTTTATGCTGACTCCATTAGATCTCCACACTTGTTTCAGGTTAATGAAAGCCTGTCTTGCTTTTCCGATCCTGGCTTTGACATCATCATCTATGCCTGTGCCGCCTGTAGTTGAAACGATGCTGCCTAGGTGGATGAAAGTGGCTACCTCCTTTAGGTTTCTTCCTTTGATTATCATATGATTATGAGCAGTCCGAATTTATGCTACAAATATCATCAACTAAATAATACTCTGTCACTGTATGTTACAAATCGAATAAATAAATATAATACAATAGTGTTACTTTTATAAATCTCATTTGGTATGTGGTATTTCATTTGTTGTTTCTAATTTCAAAGGTTAGTGAATAGGTGAAATAAGATAACAAAGTTTTATTCGTGCCATTCGCATTATAATTACCTTGGTAGCATTGTATGCTATGAACGGTTGCCACGGCAACCTGAGATATAATAAAGTTTATGATTAGTTTAATAAATAACATTTACAGTTTACTGATTGGCGTAAAGGTAAACTAAGGATAAAACGGCGAGAAAGAAAGAAAATGTCTTATCTATATTGTAATTGTCTGCGTTCAATAGTTAATTTTATACAGTATAATAATTATTGTTTCACTGTTCTACATTCATTTATCAATAGTCTATGATTGTTTTAAATGTTCAGTAGTTATTTTACTTTGAATACGATGTCCAGAAGTAAATGTATTTTGATTAGAATTCATAGAATTTTCATTTATTAATTCAGTAGTATGATAACATAATACTTGTTCAAATGTATCAGTTAATCGACTGAATACAATACTAGCAATTGCTAGACCGATAATTATATAAATAATTGAAAATAATGCCAAAAACACATCTGTTTCTGGTACTAAATCACCAAAACCAACAGTTGTTATCGAAATGAATACAAAGTAGATTAAATCTAAAATACTCCAGTCTAACTCTTTTTGTCCAGTAATATATGAGTAAATTCCAGCTCCAATTGATAGATATACTATGAATGTTAAAATGCATGGAAGTACCTAGAATTGATATAAAAAGTAAACAAACCATTCAGCAAATATGAATAGTATGCATAATTTAAGATCAAAATATAATGGAAATTCTTTATAAGCAACTGTTATCATTATCTAGTGAATCCTTGAAGAAACTAAGAAGTTTGAATTATAAAAGCCTGTGAAAAATTCCACTTCAATGACTATCATGGAAACACAATATTATTTTAAGTAATAGTTAGTTTCCATTGTATATGGCGATTATTATGATTAGTACCGTTAATTGGCCTCTGTTCTCACTTTTAATCTAAATGTTTACTGAATAACTAGTGGTGGAAACTGGGACACCTGTTTCGTCCAGTTTGGGACTCACCAGCTGGATTTACTTTCATTCCAGTGAATGATGGTATTCCCACTAAGACTGGTGACCAGTATTTACTACTTCAAGCGCTAAAGCGTTACCCACTAGGCCACCTCTTGTGAAATGGGTAACAACGAAGAATCACAACAAACAGTAGATAAGAATTGATAGCTGTTGTACAAGAGGTAGCTGTAACGCCTCAGTGGCCTAGTGGATAACCAAATGGCATTTGAAGCGATCGATTCCAGGTTTGAATCTTAGTGGAAACAGCATCCTTCACTGGAGCGGCAGCATATCCAGCTGACGACTCTGAAATGTGACGAAACACGCTTTCCGAATTCCTCTACGAGCCACTACCCATCATCACTACTAATTAAGATAGTTTCCATGCTATATAAAATTCTCCAAAAGACTTCGTCGCTGGTTATCAGAACTGATGTAATTAGGCTTATCATGACATTTGACTAGAGATTTTTCTTCCACCTTGTTTTCCAAATCTCATTTCACCGTTAACTAATCAAATAACCTTATAGATACTCAGATTATACAAATTATTCCAAAGTTCAGGCTGATCTTTAATTTAATCAATTCAAATACAAATGACAGGTAAGCTAAACAGAAACAAAATGATACACTTAACTGAGGTAAATAAGATCATTTAAACGAAAATTCAATGTTCAATTCACATGTTGAAAACAAGCCAGAAATAAATGTAAGATTTTATAATGAATTTCAACAGAAATTACATTTTAATCAATATGAAGTTTGATGTCCAATGGTAACTATAGCTGGATTCCTTTAGATATCTGTTAAAATACCCCTTAGAAGTTTCTAATATACGGACGTATCTACTGGCTTTATCATTAAAGCATCCAGTTACTTCAATGAGTTCACATCTAATTTATATGAAGCCATTACAGGTTATTCCATTCAATCACTCTTTGATACTGGGTGATGATAGAAGGTAAGATGGAAATATCGGCCGCGGCGAGATTCGAAGCAGTCACCAACAAGTTTCCGCTTCGATCCTCTAACAACCCACCGACCAGGTCAGACTACTGACCAGATTTTTATTTCACTTCAATCACCACCACAACTGTCCCAGTTGTTGACAATAAACATTCCTTCCTTCATATCTGTCTTTTGCACATTTCAATAGAACCAATTAAGCAAAATAATGTGGTCTACCGAATTCCATGCAATGATTATGAGGTCAAGTACATAGGTGAAACTAGTCGGTTGGGAACAGTCACAATAGCGATACATAAGAATTTAGCTAAATACAGAATGATAGACCCGAATAAGACCAATCATCTGGAAAAAGACACGACGTATTTGCAGAGAAGAAGAAATTTTCTTTTCGACAAAATCATTCACTGAGCTGCACATTCGTGAATGTATGTTACAGTGGGCAGAGGGTTCCAAAATTATTTCCGGTTAGGGGGCAAAATATACTGAATAACTAAAGGAAGTTAATTAATATATATTTGGGTTAAGAGTGGGAAAATAGACAAGAGATTATGAAAATAAGATTATAATTATGTAGTGCAGGTTAAATCTATGACGAAGTAGGAAAATGAATAAGGTCTGAAGGAAATACATGTGTAGTTACCTAGTACAAAATGAATCTATGACAGTCAAGGCTTTATGATGGCGATGGCAAAGATAAAGGTTGGCTGTACCTTTTGGATCGCTAGTGCTTCAGCTATAGACAGATGCCTTAATTTTACTGCCTTCGAGTAGTTTGATCGAACCGTGTAGAGAATTTTGAGTGAGTTCTCGAAACGGGCTAAATGTCCTGAGTTCACGAGGTGTTCTGTTATTGAACTGAAGATACATTTCCGTCCTACCTTTTGCCAGCTAGGCTGGGTAGTGTATGCGGAGACGTTTTACAAGCGGACGCATGGTATGGCCGATGTACTCAGCTCCACAACAGCAAGTAAAACCGATATGCACACATTGGTGTGACCCAGTGACCCAGTGAATCGGCTTGCATTCACACATTTACCAAAAGGTTTCCTGCCGCAGAAAATAATCCCAAGGTTGGCGGGGAATTAGGTTCTGTTTAATGATTTTCACAGTCGTTTCCTGAAGATATCTGCAGCAATATCATTTTTGAATTTAAGATTCAACAAAATAATCTTTTTCGGCGCCGAGTATCTTCGTTCTCTAGGTTCCTTGGCTTTAAGTTCTTATCTGTGATTCTGAGCAGGAAATCGTTTTCAGCTGGACTTCGTCGAAGTATTTGCAGTTCCCCGCCAACAGTGTCCTCGGTACATATTTTCATGATCCTCGAGGAAAGTGTATGAATAAGAAAAAAACTCGGCTATTGCATGCATTGCATGCATTACCAACACACAACCACACAATAGGGTAGATGGGATAAAAACACTGTACTGAATTCCATCATAATTAGATGCAGAAAGAGAGAGAGAGAGAGAGAGAGAGATTGCTGAATATTTGTTCATTGAATCAACACCCAACATATATGATGGGAATGACGCAACACCCATCCATATACCAGAGATAAGGGCAATTTTATTACCACCAGAATCAAACGATATGAGGTGGGTAACATAACTATAAAATCAGTAGTCTAAAGTATGATATGATTATGAGCAGTAATCATTTATGCTCAAAACGTCATTCAGTAAATAACACTACTGTATCACTCATTGTGTGTTATAAATCAAATAAACGAATGTAATATGGAGATATATTCGACTACAGCGCCTAGGTTTCGCACTAATATGAAAGCGTTCACAGATAAACACATGTAGAACACACAATGACTACCAGCAATAAACTCAAAGTTTAATTACATGTTAGATTTGTTTATTTGATTTATATCACACACACACACACACTGAGTGATAACAGTATTATTATTTACTTGATGACATTTCAAGCATAAATTAGCATTACTCACAGTTACATCACAACATTACAACATATAACTTCCCATATCTGATTTTTACAGTCTTATCCTCTGTTACACTCATTCCATCATTCCCATTACATGTGTCACCTCATGCGCCGACGAACAAAGATTCAGTAGTAATCAGTCTACCACTCCATCGAATTATATTGGACTTAAGCGGTGTGGTTTTATCCCACCCACAATATCGTGTGCTTGTGCATTAATGCATTCACTGCAATAGACGAGTGTTTTACACTCTTGAGGTAGAAAATGAGAACAAGGCAAATTACCTATGTTGGATTGCAGAGGAAAATGAAGAACACACACCAGTTTACATACTACCGTCTACAGATAACCGACACACTCCAACAGGTATCTAGACTTCACGTCATCTCATCCAATGTCAGTTAACATAGGTTCACTCAAATATGTAAATGATAGATCTAGAAAACTGACCAGTCAGTGCGAGCACCTAAACAAGGAATTGAAGCACACAAGAAACACCCTACTAGTTAGTAACTATCCTCAACAGTTTATTCACAAATTCATACAAACACATAATCAACAAAACAATAAGTAATATGAATGAGAATGAGAATGTTGGCGATAATTCGAGTAGAAATAAGTTCAAAGTCTCTATTATTGTGTTATCATAAAAGGAAGGAAGATGAGAAACTTCACGTAGGATCGTCAACAAGTCTGGAATTCGGACGAATGACATTCACACCTACAAACTGACTCAGAGTTAAGCTTTGTCAGTTGGCGTAAGGATGTGATAGAACCAATCAGTCAAAATAATCTATTCTATCAAATTCCATGTGATGATTGTGAGTGAGGTGAAGCACGTAAGTGAAAGTAGTCGATCGAGGTCAGTTAGAATAGCGGGACACAGGAATTCAACTGAATATAGAATGACAGACTCCAGTAAGATCAATGATGTAGAAAGTAACTAGGCTATTGCAATGGATGGATTAACAACACACAACTACACAATGGGGTGGATGAGATAAAACCACTGTACTTAATGAAGTCGAGTATAGTTAGGTGGAGAGAGAGAGAGAGAGATTACTGAATCTCTGTTCATCGAATCTGTCAACTCGCAACACATCTAATGGGAGTGACACAACACCTATATACCAGAGCAATGGGACATTTTACTACCAATAAAGACAAAGAATATGGGATGGTTGATATGACTATAAAAATCAGAAATCGGGAGTAGTGTGATTATGAGGAGGAATAATTTATTGAGCGATTCCACCAATTGGTTTCCACTTCTGATTAGTTAGAAGAAACGAAATAGTAGGGTTGTCTATTGTTAAAAAAGGATTCTACATTCATCGTTATATTGTATTGCATTATTTCTAGTGTAACAATTTTCTATTTAAGTTAAACAACTGATTACTTGTCATTGACCAATTTTGTGCAAAATTTAAACATTTAAAAGGTTTTTTTCATTCAAAGGAGTTCGCATCAGAGACTGACAACAGTCAGACAGTTATTAAAAACGTGTGAGTAAAGGATAGTCATTTTATTGTAGCTTGAGACTTTCAGTGGTAGAACTAAACTTTAGTAACGACCAATCCCATTGAAGTATGCATTGACCAATCGAAATGGACCATATAAAGTAGATACGACTTCTGTGTATCTGTGTATATTGTAGTACTCCACATTCTGCTCATTTTCCGATAACTGACAGGGTAGATTCTTCTAATCTCTAATTTATCCACTGAAAACTTCCTTTCTTCGTGTTTTGATCATATATACCAAGAATCTGTGATATGTCAAGATATGTCTATTAAACTTCATCCTGTTGAAGTCATCCTTCTCGGTTATATTTGCGTTTGCAAACATGACATTCATCTACCTAGACCTCATCACCTACCTCAATAATCTTTACGTTGAACCTGCAAATGTCTCCAGTGCTAATCCGTATGGATTGAAGAAACTTCACCAGTACTTTTCAGAGATCCTGCTGATATTATAGGTGTTCCACAGAGTAATGTAGTGTTTTTTGGAGAGTTAGATAAGATCCTCCCAAAAAAAGATCTTTTCCTCAAAGACTTCTTGTCGTAAATAAAACCATATACTTTTCCTCTTTTTGTTAGGTGCACAATTCATTACAAAATCGTATTCCCAATTCAGATTTCTCCCAAGCAATCCAAGTCTCTGCAAGTAATCCACAACATAATCTTCGCCAAAAGTTTATGTAGTAAATAAATGTAACAAATGACCTTGAATTCAGCAAGTCCAACCTGATTGGTCGTCCTCAAGGTTTCTCACCAACAAACCTTCTTTTTCATTCATTTCAATTCATTGAATTTGTATATTCCCTACGCCAATGATAATCACGAATATTGAATATGGTGATGAAAGACAATAGGAAAATAGAAAGATTGACAGCATTTTCTAAATATCTTTTCAATGAGACGATCTGAAGTACAGCTTATTTACATCCTCTGAATGACACCTGAAGTACTAAGATGTCCTTATGAGAGGAAGTAATATCTTATGCTCAGTGTCTCTATACATATAATAACAAGGTCTCATTCATACACATGGTTACATTAGTGTAATTAATGATCCAAAAAGGCGTTCAACGATCTATTTTTCTGTGTATAACAGTCTATTTCACCTTTGGTACCACTTGGAAACTTAAAAAAGTAATTTAAATACGAAATGAATATTTTGAACTGTTAGTAAATATCCTCATGAACTGAGCTTCTTTAGAGAATCAATAAAAACCTGGGAACACTGGACAGCTCTTTTGTCCTAGTCTAGGACTCTTCAGTAGTTTGTACCACATACCTTGTGAAAGATCAAATCCAGGAACTTCAGGTCTTACAGTGAACATATTGCTACTTAACTGAAAATCCAACTGTCGCCTTTATTCAGCTTTTTTTGATTCATGATATAACCCAACCATCATGCAATGACATCACAGATGTAACTGCCTTCATACGTTAAGTCACTTGTGATCATCAAATTAATGGCTAGCGCGTTCATCCCAAGACCTAAAGTGGGTCGTGAGTGCGTACTGCTTAAGAATCCCACACTAGGACGAAACACCTGGCTGTCCAGTCCTCCCAGGTCTTCACTGGTTCCTCAACTGATATCATCTTTAACTGAAACTACTTTCTAGCTTGTTTACTTTCTGAACTTACCCGAAAATCGAAAGTTGCATCAGTTCGATGATATATTTCCCTCAGTCCAACTGGAACTCCAGAAGGATCAAGTGTCATAAAGTAAATTGCTTTCGTCAGTCGAATTATAACATTCGATATTCGACTGATAAGAAGACTACACAATGGTATAGCGATTATACCATATAGAATAGTTAATAATTTACCAGCAGCAGTAGACGGGAACACATTACCATAGCCTAGGAATAAAGAAGAGTAGAGTATAAATAATTCATTGAACACGATTAATAAAGAACAACATGTATGACAGAGTTATTGACATTCGGTTATTTTGAAAACTCATGTAAACTGCTTATAATTTGAGTTCCAAGGAATACCTGATTAGTTTCTGTACGTGTATCCTTTCTCAAGCTAGAGAGAAAGTACTTGTCAAAACTGAAGCGTTGAAGTAAAAGAGAATGACAATATTACTCATAGGATTACCTGGTTTTATTCAATGACCATAAAATTTTTCAAGCGAAGAAGACTAAGAATCAATGAGAGGAAATGATTGATTCAATTCTGAAATTTGATGTCTCTAAGCTTCACTGAGTTCTTTTTTTAAAAAGCTGTACAATGTATCTAATGGAGGAAGCTTGAAAGTAATTAATAAAGTCGTTTTACATATGCCGACTATCTCTAATAGTCAAATGATTATCAATATGATGCTCCCCCCTCTCATTCTAATTCAGTGAGATTTCGATTGGGATGAGAAGTCCTGATTAGTCAGCCATTGTAAAATACGATCAAGTGGTAGTAACGTATCATGAATTCACATGTTAATCGAGCCGAAACCCCTGGTGACTGAAGTGAAATAAATATCCGGTCAGCAGTGGGACCTCGTAGGTGGGTTAGTAGAGCACAGGGCCGGTAATCCGGTGGTGGCTAGTTCGAATCCGGCCGCGGCCCATATTTCCATCTCACGTTCAATCATCACCCAGTACAAGTAATTGATAACATTATTGTTGTACAGCTCGTTTCAAGAGCCTTCAATTGATCTCTCATACATACATGTAGTTAGGGAATAATTGTATGTTGAATGAAATCCACTATTCGCTTAAAATCGATTATTTTATTATAAATTACGGTGAGTTTTGGTCAAATAATTTATGTCTGTACAGATGATTCAAATCACCTAATAGATATTCACAATAGGCACCAGACTGAGTTTTGTTTCAGGTGGTTAGGTGGGCAGAATTGTGTGACTCATCATGAAGCTAGATTGAGTATATAAGATTGGGCAGCTATGTTGGAAATCAATCACGTTCAAGGTCAGCACCGGACAAAGTCACTTATGGATAACCAAAAGAATTTCTTGACGTCTTTAACACTTCTCTAATCGAATTAGTCTTAACATTGCATTGCTGCTGAGGGTAAAAGCAGAACTGTTTCATCGAATGACCAAACCTGGTAGTTATCGACAAAAAAGATGCACATCTAATTTCTAAACTGAAACATTGAACAGTGATAACTTAAGTTGTAGAACTAAACATTAGTGACGGCCAATCACTTGCACGTATGAATCGACCAATCAGAATCGAGTATATGAAGGGCAACGTTATTATTCAGGCAAATGGTACTTTATTTAAATTTATAAATCTATATTAACCCATTTCAGATAGCAGCATGCATGACTTCTGTGTATCTGTGTATATTGTAGTACTCCACATTCTGCTCATTTTCCGATAACTGACAGGGTAGATTCTTCTAATCTCTAATTTATCCACTGAAAACTTCCTTTCTTCGTGTTTTGATCATATATACCAAGAATCTGTGATATGTCAAGATATGTGTATTTAACTTAAACAGCCATGTTTGGTACGTTAAGTGCAAAGTCAATTACATCACCGCATTCTCAATTCAAACTTCTCGTAAGCAATCCAACTCTCCGCAAATAACCGATAACGTAATCTTCAGTTAGATCCTCTTCAGGCTTTACTCTCATACAAATACCTTCATATATATATATATATATATATATATATATATATATATATATATATATATATATATATAGAATTATTATTATTACTGGATGACGACGTTTCAAGCATAAATTATTCCTCCTCATAATCACACTACTCCCGATTTCTGATTTTTATAGTCATATCAACCATCCCATATTCTTTGTCTTTATTGGTAGTAAAATGTCCCATTGCTCTGGTATATAGGTGTTGTGTCACTCCCATTAGATGTGTTGCGAGTTGACAGATTCGATGAACAGAGATTCAGTAATCTCTCTCTCTCTCTCTCCACCTAACTATACTCGACTTCATTAAGTACAGTGGTTTTATCTCATCCACCCCATTGTGTAGTTGTGTGTTGTTAATCCATCCATTGCAATAGCCTAGTTACTTTCTACATCATTGATCTTACTGGAGTCTGTCATTCTATATTCAGTTGAATTCCTGTGTCCCGCTATTCTAACTGACCTCGATCGACTACTTTCACTTACGTGCTTCACCTCACTCACAATCATCACATGGAATTTGATAGAATAGATTATTTTGACTGATTGGTTCTATCACATCCTTACGCCAACTGACAAAGCTTAACTCTGAGTCAGTTTGTAGGTGTGAATGTCATTCGTCCGAATTCCAGACTTGTTGACGATCCTACGTGAAGTTTCTCATCTTCCTTCCTTTTATGATAACACAATAATAGAGACTTTGAACTTATTTCTACTCGAATTATCGCCAACATTCTCATTCTCATTCATATTACTTATTGTTTTGTTGATTATGTGTTTGTATGAATTTGTGAATAAACTGTTGAGGATAGTTACTAACTAGTAGGGTGTTTCTTGTGTGCTTCAATTCCTTGTTTAGGTGCTCGCACTGACTGGTCAGTTTTCTAGATCTATCATTTACATATTTGAGTGAACCTATGTTAACTGACATTGGATGAGATGACGTGAAGTCTAGATACCTGTTGGAGTGTGTCGGTTATCTGTAGACGGTAGTATGTAAACTGGTGTGTGTTCTTCATTTTCCTCTGCAATCCAACATAGGTAATTTGCCTTGTTCTCATTTTCTACCTCAAGAGTGTAAAACACTCGTCTATTGCAGTGAATGCATTAATGCACAAGCACACGATATTGTGGGTGGGATAAAACCACACCGCTTAAGTCCAATATAATTCGATGGAGTGGTAGACTGATTACTACTGAATCTTTGTTCGTCGGCGCATGAGGTGACACATGTAATGGGAATGATGGAATGAGTGTAACAGAGGATAAGACTGTAAAAATCAGATATGGGAAGTTATATGTTGTAATGTTGTGATGTAACTGTGAGTAATGCTAATTTATGCTTGAAATGTCATCAAGTAAATAATAATACTGTTATCACTCAGTGTGTGTGTGTGTGTGATATAAATCAAATAAACAAATCTAACATGTAATTAAACTTTGAGTTTATTGCTGGTAGTCATTGTGTGTTCTACATGTGTTTATCTGTGAACGCTTTCATATTAGTGCGAAACCTAGGCGCTGTAGTCGAATATATCTCCATATTACATTCGTTTATTTGATTTATAACACACAATGAGTGATACAGTAGTGTTATTTACTGAATGACGTTTTGAGCATAAATGATTACTGCTCATAATCATATCATACTTTAGACTACTGATTTTATAGTTATGTTACCCACCTCATATCGTTTGATTCTGGTGGTAATAAAATTGCCCTTATCTCTGGTATATGGATGGGTGTTGCGTCATTCCCATCATATATGTTGGGTGTTGATTCAATGAACAAATATTCAGCAATCTCTCTCTCTCTCTCTCTCTCTCTTTCTGCATCTAATTATGATGGAATTCAGTACAGTGTTTTTATCCCATCTACCCTATTGTGTGGTTGTGTGTTGGTAATGCATGCAATGCATGCAATAGCCGAGTTTTTTTCTTATTCATACACTTTCCTCGAGGATCATGAAAATATGTACCGAGGACACTGTTGGCGGGGAACTGCAAATACTTCGACGAAGTCTAGCTGAAAACGATTTCCTGCTCAGAATCACAGATAAGAACTTAAAGCCAAGGAACCTAGAGAACGAAGATACTCGGCGCCGAAAAAGATTATTTTGTTGAATCTTAAATTCAAAAATGATATTGCTGCAGATATCTTCAGGAAACGACTGTGAAAATCATTAAACAGAACCTAATTCCCCGCCAACCTTGGGATTATTTTCTGCGGCAGGAAACCTTTTGGTAAATGTGTGAATGCAAGCCGATTCACTGGGTCACTGGGTCACACCAATGTGTGCATATCGGTTTTACTTGCTGTTGTGGAGCTGAGTACATCGGCCATACCATGCGTCCGCTTGTAAAACGTCTCCGCATACACTACCCAGCCTAGCTGGCAAAAGGTAGGACGGAAATGTATCTTCAGTTCAATAACAGAACACCTCGTGAACTCAGGACATTTAGCCCGTTTCGAGAACTCACTCAAAATTCTCTACACGGTTCGATCAAACTACTCGAAGGCAGTAAAATTAAGGCATCTGTCTATAGCTGAAGCACTAGCGATCCAAAAGGTACAGCCAACCTTTATCTTTGCCATCGCCATCATAAAGCCTTGACTGTCATAGATTCATTTTGTACTAGGTAACTACACATGTATTTCCTTCAGACCTTATTCATTTTCCTACTTCGTCATAGATTTAACCTGCACTACATAATTATAATCTTATTTTCATAATCTCTTGTCTATTTTCCCACTCTTAACCCAAATATATATTAATTAACTTCCTTTAGTTATTCAGTATATTTTGCCCCCTAACCGGAAATAATTTTGGAACCCTCTGCCCACTGTAACATACATTCACGAATGTGCAGCTCAGTGAATGATTTTGTCGAAAAGAAAATTTCTTCTTCTCTGCAAATACGTCGTGTCTTTTTCCAGATGATTGGTCTTATTCGGGTCTATCATTCTGTATTTAGCTAAATTCTTATGTATCGCTATTGTGACTGTTCCCAACCGACTAGTTTCACCTATGTACTTGACCTCATAATCATTGCATGGAATTCGGTAGACCACATTATTTTGCTTAATTGGTTCTATTGAAATGTGCAAAAGACAGATATGAAGGAAGGAATGTTTATTGTCAACAACTGGGACAGTTGTGGTGGTGATTGAAGTGAAATAAAAATCTGGTCAGTAGTCTGACCTGGTCGGTGGGTTGTTAGAGGATCGAAGCGGAAACTTGTTGGTGACTGCTTCGAATCTCGCCGCGGCCGATATTTCCATCTTACCTTCTATCATCACCCAGTATCAAAGAGTGATTGAATGGAATAACCTGTAATGGCTTCATATAAATTAGATGTGAACTCATTGAAGTAACTGGATGCTTTAATGATAAAGCCAGTAGATACGTCCGTATATTAGAAACTTCTAAGGGGTATTTTAACAGATATCTAAAGGAATCCAGCTATAGTTACCATTGGACATCAAACTTCATATTGATTAAAATGTAATTTCTGTTGAAATTCATTATAAAATCTTACATTTATTTCTGGCTTGTTTTCAACATGTGAATTGAACATTGAATTTTCGTTTAAATGATCTTATTTACCTCAGTTAAGTGTATCATTTTGTTTCTGTTTAGCTTACCTGTCATTTGTATTTGAATTGATTAAATTAAAGATCAGCCTGAACTTTGGAATAATTTGTATAATCTGAGTATCTATAAGGTTATTTGATTAGTTAACGGTGAAATGAGATTTGGAAAACAAGGTGGAAGAAAAATCTCTAGTCAAATGTCATGATAAGCCTAATTACATCAGTTCTGATAACCAGCGACGAAGTCTTTTGGAGAATTTTATATAGCATGGAAACTATCTTAATTAGTAGTGATGATGGGTAGTGGCTCGTAGAGGAATTCGGAAAGCGTGTTTCGTCACATTTCAGAGTCGTCAGCTGGATATGCTGCCGCTCCAGTGAAGGATGCTGTTTCCACTAAGATTCAAACCTGGAATCGATCGCTTCAAATGCCATTTGGTTATCCACTAGGCCACTGAGGCGTTACAGCTACCTCTTGTACAACAGCTATCAATTCTTATCTACTGTTTGTTGTGATTCTTCGTTGTTACCCATTTCACAAGAGGTGGCCTAGTGGGTAACGCTTTAGCGCTTGAAGTAGTAAATACTGGTCACCAGTCTTAGTGGGAATACCATCATTCACTGGAATGAAAGTAAATCCAGCTGGTGAGTCCCAAACTGGACGAAACAGGTGTCCCAGTTTCCACTACTAGTTATTAACCGTCATTCGCAAAATATGCTTCATTTCCTCTTCTGCTTCTCTCTTGATTTACTCTTCATACGCCTAGCCTTGTCTCTTGCGTTTCTCTACGCAGAATCCTTATCCATTACTGCTAATTCTCTGTGATTTCTGCCACCCTCTCAACATATACTACTTATGTCCAATCTTATCAGCAACTTCCACTACACTCGCATCCTTAAGCAAACTGAAAAAGCTTATCTCTCATTGAGTTTGTAGGTAGGTTTAATTGCCACCTTTATTCCATCTTTGTTGAGGATCCTACGTAAAGTTTCTCATGATTGATTACTGAATCTTTGTTCATCGAATAAGCCAACTTCCAATATATGTAACAGATGTGACGCGATGCCTATGTACCAGAGATATGGAAAATTTTACCACTGATAAGAACAATTCGTATGAGGTGACATAACCATAAAAATCAAGAGTCGATAGTGTGATATAATTATGGGCAGTAGTAATGTATGCTCGAAACATCATCCAGTAAATAATAGTATTGTATCAGTCACTGTGTGTTATAAATCAAATAAAGAAATCTAATACGGAATTACATTCTACCAGTGCTCAAGTCATACACCTGTATTAACAGTTCGTAGCACCCCTATTGATGCTTTAAAAATTATAATTGCTGCTTCAGTTATTGTGAGCTCTTCAAGTCAACTGATTGCATAACTAGAATACACTACCATTAAAGAGATGGTTGAATGTTAAAGAGGAGATCAAATCATTTCTTAGAAATTTTATTTCACCATCATATGAGAAAGATACTTTTCACTCCTATGTTAGCCCAATGTTTCGAAAACATTACCATATGCAACTCGCCAACACCTTTTCTACATTAGTGAAGCTGTAGAAATAAAAGGAATTGAATCTAACCTCTGCATCAAGAAGCAATACATTCACATGTTACTCTTCCCTTGGTCTTCAATAAACTAAAAACTACTTCTATCCCTCTCTTTTGTTGTCCTCTTCTTTCCTTATTCGATTATCCTTTATTTATCTGTATCATTTGAAGAATTTAAAAAGAAAAACAGATCTAGTCTTTGTTTGAAGTGATTGGTTCCGGGATCCTATCTCAGTGGAAACAAAATCACTCACTGAGAGGTAAGTAAATACAGTGAGACGACATATTATCATTATCGTTTCTCCCTTGGGTTCCTAGTCGAATATAGGGATTCAGTAGCACGTCTCCATTCCACTCTGTTCTCTCCAGTCTTTTCAACCTGGCTACACTACTGCCCAGAAGCTCTCATTTATTCCGAACACCATCTCATCAATGTCACCCTCACATCAGACGCCCAACTCGTTGTTTCCCATGCTGGTCCCACTCTAGCGCCTTCCTGACCTGGCACGTGATGTCCCTAAAGCGTCTTCTCAGTGTATTCCCAGTCCAATCCATCTCCACTTCCTTCCAGTGCATATTTGTTGGGTGATAGGTTCTCGGTTGGTTTGTTGCCAGACCACAGTTCCTTCTTGCTTATTCTTTCTGGCTGTCTGATCTGATCTTCAGTAACGAGCGTAGGCAGTTCTTGATGAATATCTCTTGTGGTTTGTTGGGAATGCTTTTCGTAACGCTCAGAGTTTCTCCACCATCACATAGAAGCACTGACTTGACTGAGATTAGTGTTGAAAATCCGGATGTTGTTAAAGCTTTATGCTGACTCCATTAGATCTCCACACTTGTTTCAGGTTAATGAACGCCGATGTATGCATTAGTTATTCATGTTCTGTGTTAATCTAAAAAAACAAAGGTAACCAGTTTGGATCCCTACTATTATATTGATTTCCTTCGCATGCAAGTCACAGTTCTGATCACTTCTGTGAAGGATACAAGACATCGTTTTCCTGACTGCTCATTCAGTATGAGGTCAATTAAATATATGCTGGGTGACTTTTGAAGGTGAAATGAAAATTTGAACCATCGCGGAATTCGAACCATTGACCAACGGATTTCCGCCTCGATCCTCTACCAACTCACCTATGAGGTCCCACTGCTGACCGGATTTTTATTTCACTTCAGTCACCAAGGGTTTCGGCTCGATTAACATGTGAATTCATGATACGTTACTACCACTTGATCGTATTTTACAATGGCTGACTAATCAGGACTTCTCATCCCAATCGAAATCTCACTGAATTAGAATGAGAGGGGGGAGCATCATATTGATTATCATTTGACTATCCGAGATAGCTGTAGTTTGGTAGACTTTCATTGATAATGACTTGGTGATGATTGAAGGTGAAATGGAAATATATGTAGTTTTCATGGTTATGGGAATTGTGTTTTTAAGGCAGTATTTTATCATGGACTGATATTATTTAGAGAACTATTGAAAGCTTGGGAACAGTGGTCAGCTGTTTCGTCCTAATGTGAAAACCCTCATCAGTACGCAGCCACGATCCCGTCATGAATCGAATACTACCTTAAAAATAAAATTCTTATAAACCTTAAACGACATTGCCGTACAATTCCTATTAGTGATATAATTCAAGATGGATGAGAAGTCTTGACCTATGAGGTCAGCCATGTTGGAAGTGAAGCTGATGCCAGTTGAAGGCATTAATGAGTAGTCACATTATATCACAAACTGAGTGAAGTAGGAAACTGTTAACGATTAAATTCCGGTCCAGTGGCTGAGTAGTGAATCCGTTCACCGTCAAACCTGAAGGTCGTGAGTTTGACCTTCGGAGGGGTCGTTGGTGTGAACTGTTGAAGAGTCTCACAATGGGACGAAACACCTGACTGTCCAATACTTCCAAGTTTTCATTGGTCCTCCAACTTCTGTCACTTCATAGTGAATACTACCCCAATTATGTATATCTTTCTTTTTAAACAAAAATTTTCATTGAAACTCACCAATAGTTGTGAAAAGTGTAAAACAATAATAGATACTCCCCCAGAAATTCCATTTAGTTGGTATATCAATTGTTAACTCATCTGTACCAGATAGCCAGGCTTCATACAATTTCTCTCGATATCTATCCACTTGTGCAACTAATTTTGACCAATCAGCATTATCTCCTTTTTTAGCTAATTGTTGGGCTAAAACAAAGATTTTTTGTCTCGTCTGAAAAGCGAAAGATGAAATATAATAATGATAATAATATTGATAATAACAATAATAATAATAGTGCTGGTTAGATTGATAAACTGAAAATATCTCTATTCTAAACTGACCTCATTAGTTGTTGTCGATAGCCGAATTAGAGAAGTGAACAGTTGGTTGGCAGGCCAGAGTTCCATGTTGCTTATTCTTTCTTGCTTACGCCAGTATGAGACTCTGTAGCAATATGCAACCACGACCGTGCCCTTCCACGGATCCAACTCAAGTGTTGCTTCGAATATCTTAGCCATTCAGCCAATGGGTTAGAGTTCGATAGTTCCGAGTTTCCTACTCCTGTCAACTCACGATACAGTGCCTACCTTCATAAAATACCATCGCTCAGTATTTGTCCTCACATCCAACTCGGTTTGCCCCACCTGTCATGACTTTTTATTAGAACTTCAGAAAATCTCATCTCCAACCAAATCACTGCCACTAGCACAAAATATCTGTCCAGTACTTTCAGCTTTTTAACGGTCCTGCAACTGATGTCATTTCATGATGAATATCATTTATTTATCGAAACCATCTCCAGTTCCATCACTGAAAACCTCGTAGACTCTGGACATCTGACTTCTCCGGAAACCTCTTTCAAAGTTCTCTACAAAGTTCGATCAAACCGTTCTAAAAGGTTGAAGATTAGACCGAAGCTTTGGTAGTCCATAGCTTCAAACCTCAATAGTGGTTTAAGAGAAACATGCACAAACACTCTCCTTACCAAGACCTTAAACGGATACTCTGGACCGCTGTTTATTTTTCATTTTTGGTAATTTATTTATTTATTTTTATCAGGTACCAAATCTTACTGTTCAAAACATTTTATAAAAAACCATTGAGACCATTTCTTGTATTGCGCAACATGATTTCATTCGCTTTAGACATCTGTCGATTAGTATTGTAACTTATATCATTTTGTCACTGACTGAACCGAATTTAATCGGTCCCTAGTGGCATAGAAATAGAGCACCAATCAAGATGTAGCTATTTTTTGACCTTGAGTCAAAACGTAAATAAAAGGCTTTTATCCAATCAGATGTTAAAGACATGTAAGCTCGAACATCTATCTCGATGATTGGCTATCGATCGTGATTCTCTGGATAATTATTTCAACAAATGCCCTTCAATGAGCTTTCATCATGATATAAGTTAGCAGATTTCAGAAATCTTGTTAAGAATCACTATAAACCACCAAGTACTAGTGGACGGGTTATTTAGCCGTATTTTGGACTTATTAATAGTCAACACTTGTAAACCTTTTCAGAATAAAAAGGAAATGGATCTCAGTAGTCAAATCAGTTACCCCAGTCAACAATTTCATCGGGCAAAATACGGCAACATTAGGCCGAGCATTTGGCTATGAGTATGATGTTGGGCCAGATGCTGTAGTGCACTGTAGTGAGTGTTCTATCCGACATAAATGTTGACTAGGTACATAACTGTTCGATATTTGGCTAATGACATTTCTGTAACTCGAACGACTGATGTGTGACCCAAATATTTATCTTATTCACTCAATATGCATAATACAATTTCAGGCCTTAGATAACCATTTTATAGACAACTGATAAATGTTCTTGAGTAAGGACCCTGTTAGATCTGTCAAATCATTATACATTTTTGTTCTCATATATAGGCTGAATATCAGTTGAATGCATGTGTAAAACTTGGACACTGTGGTAGAATATAATTCCATATTTGATTTATAACACACAGTGATTCAGTATTATTTACTGGATGACGACGTTTTAAGCATGAATTATTACTAAAGATGGGTAGTGGATAGCAGTGGAATCTAGGATGCGCATTTCTTCCTATTTGGGACTCACCAGTTAGCTGGATGTACCTGCCTCCCAGTGAGTGATGTTATTCCCACCGGGATTCCAACTCGCGAGCGATCACTTCGAATGCCAGAGTGTAATCCACTACACCACCGAGCCATGATAGCATCCTGAACTCCACTGCTAGCCACTATCCATTTTTACTATAATTAGAACACAGGTATATCCAGGCATCCGCACAGGAGTCCATATGTCAATAGAGGCCAAATCAATTCGGTCCAATCAACTACGGTATAATACAAGCTCTCATAATCATATCAATATAATCACACGCCCTTCGACATCCAATTTTTATAGTCCTGTCACCGCATAGTCTTTCTTTCTAAAGTTCTCTATATCTCTAGTGTGGGTGATGTGTCATTCCTATTAGTGTTGGGTGTCGATTCGACGAACACAGATTCAATTTTCAATTTCTCTCTCTCTCTCTCTCTCCACCTAACTATACTCGACTTCATTAAGTACAGTGGTTTTATCTCATCCACCCCATTGTGTAGTTGTGTGTTGTTAATCCATCCATTGCAATAGCCTAGTTACTTTCTACATCATTGATCTTACTGGAGTCTGTCATTCTATATTCAGTTGAATTCCTGTGTCCCGCTATTCTAACTGACCTCGATCGACTACTTTCACTTACGTGCTTCACCTCACTCACAATCATCACATGGAATTTGATAGAATAGATTATTTTGACTGATTGGTTCTATCACATCCTTACGCCAACTGACAAAGCTTAACTCTGAGTCAGTTTGTAGGTGTGAATGTCATTCGTCCGAATTCCAGACTTGTTGACGATCCTACGTGAAGTTTCTCATCTTCCTTCCTTTTATGATAACACAATAATAGAGACTTTGAACTTATTTCTACTCGAATTATCGCCAACATTCTCATTCTCATTCATATTACTTATTGTTTTGTTGATTATGTGTTTGTATGAATTTGTGAATAAACTGTTGAGGATAGTTACTAACTAGTAGGGTGTTTCTTGTGTGCTTCAATTCCTTGTTTAGGTGCTCGCACTGACTGGTCAGTTTTCTAGATCTATCATTTACATATTTGAGTGAACCTATGTTAACTGACATTGGATGAGATGACGTGAAGTCTAGATACCTGTTGGAGTGTGTCGGTTATCTGTAGACGGTAGTATGTAAACTGGTGTGTGTTCTTCATTTTCCTCTGCAATCCAACATAGGTAATTTGCCTTGTTCTCATTTTCTACCTCCTCGTAAGGGAATTGGATTGCGTCCACTACTGAGTTTATATGTATGAGAAAACTGCTGACAGCTTCCTATTTCAACACAGTAAATGCTGGACTAAACGTTTATAAAGTCATATTTTCCCAACTATCCATAAATACATCTATTATGATTGGGGATATTGATGATTCTGTTGGTACTCCATTGGTCAGTTGAATGGTGACGAAAAAGAAGTTTTATCTGAATAGAAACTGATTATACATTACAAAATCAAGATACAGTAAAGTGTTGTTTCGGTGGTTTTTGAATGAGAACAGGAAGGTGTTTTATCAACATAGAGTATAGGAAACCTATTGATCTCAATACCTTAGACTATAATGTGTCATTCAATGGAGAATATGTTCTATGGTATCCCATTTTAACACTATCAACTAATATCTCTCATTTAGATGATAGATAAGCTAAACTCATATTAATCAGTTACATAGAAGCAGAATACTGTTTGTATGATTTTATATAGTTTCACTCAATCAATGCAAGTTTTAAAAATTATTCTCACCTTAGATACATGCGTCCTAGAATGAGCTTCATATGGACCTTCAATTTTTCGAAATAACAATGCACCGAATACAGTTACCAATGTTAATATAAGTATTAAACCAGATAGTGATTTAATGAATTGTACTATAAAAGAAATAATGGAATTGAAACAGAAAAACAATGGTAAATAAATAGGATACATAAATTATAAAATCACTATAGCATAATAGTTTCAAAACTACAATTTTTACTCAAGGGAGTTTTGAATTACACGAAAATTACTCATCATTGATTGTACTCAATTGCCTGGTCATTACTGGCATATAGCCTCTTGTATAGATGTCTAAATACTACTAATAATTTCACTTTGATGTTAATAATGATGAATAACAGGAGTAACATTACTCAGTGAAAGGCGAGTAAATCCACCTGATGAGGGTTAAATGGAACGAAACACACGTGTTGAATCCCTGTACCTGTTTTATGTATTCCCTATTTGTAGATACATATCTCAAAATTTTTAAGAAATAAAGAGTTCACTATATCAGGATGATATATATCATGGACTGAACGTCCTAAGTTCGATTCCTGGTGAAGTTGTGGAAGTCACGTACTAGGACGAAACAGCTGACTGCCCAATGCTTCCAAGTCTTCACTAGTTCTTCAACTGATGTCAGTAGTCCGTTATAAATACTACCCTAAAGTTCTGATCTCGATAATTAGGACTGATTCGACAGTGTGAATTTTTTAGCATCTTAGTTAATAGAGGATATGCATTCTTGGATATGACCAAAAGAGCAGTCATTTGAGCTATTTATTTAGCCTTTTCAAAACACAATAGAGAGGAAACGTGTTGAAATGAATCAAAGGGGGATGAATGAGACCAGAACAATGAGCCGTCAGATGTATCTAAAACATCGAGACATTAAAACTCATGTCACCTGAAGCAGTGGAACACCAAGATTAAGTGCTAATTATCATCCATCCACAAGGTGTATCTTCACCCATCGGTAAGCTGGTGTTCCCTTTTATGGTCTAAGTCCGCTTCATTTATCGTTGAATTTGCAAACCTCACCAGGCAGCTATCAATGCCATGAAGAACCTCCTGCATTATGTACACGAATAGATTATCACTGGGAATCCAACAAAATTTTCTAGTCCTCAGAGCTCAACCCTCACCGATTTCTATCAACCTAACACCAAGTTCAGTGTTTTGTGGCATTGAGTCACTTATAGTGCTGGTCAAATCGTAAACTTGTCCTAAAGGCTTCTGCCAGCACTAACCACTGGGCATTAAATAGCTACATCTCTACCCACTAGTGACCAAGCTTGTGCACAACAATTCTTGTCATACTGAAAAAGTCAACATGGTAGCTTCCAACTCAAAACGTGAGTGTGAATAATGACCAGTCAGTGCAAGAAGTGATGACCTATTTTATTTCCTTTTCAAACTCCAATGATTACTCTATCTTATGGTGGATAAACGATGGGTATAAAGAGAAAAATTCCCCGTCAGGACTACTACTACTACTACTACTACTATTATTATTATTATTATTATTATTATTATTATTATTATTATTACTACTTAGATGTTGAGTCAGTTATTCAGTGATTAAATGGGAAAAAGGAAATACGCAGTTTATCAAAGTTTGTGGTGATAAACTATACTATGAAGTTTTATGTGCGCTGAATAAACAGGAGACAGAACTAGATGGTAACAGATGACACCATCTTACTGAATATTTTTCCACTATTTTCACAAAGTTAATGCATGCGATCAAATCGGCCAAAACTGAGCATATTATAATGGTAAGCTACCCCTGAGATAATGAATTTAAATAGACAAGGGAAAGGCGAAGTTGAACTTTATTCTCGATGACAATCCACTCTGTGGTATATAGGTGGTCCCTTTATTCTCAGTGAATTTACTAAAATATAGTGCTACTCTTCCTCTGACAACTTTAAACAGATCTCCTGACTTAATTTCGTGTACATGGAACATTCAGAGACCTTAGGAATTCACAGGCTTGATTAATTACAAGTCAATAAGGCACTAGTGTAATCTGTTATTTGGTCTACAGGAAATCCTGTTTGACCGAGGTTTCCGTCTTTTTAGTACTCATCAGTAAACCGTATCTACAACCTTGAGGAAATTAATATCCCCTTTGATATTCGAACTCATGTCACCTAGTGTTTGTCAACGACATTACCACTGAGATATTCAAGCTATGATTAGCCCGTTGTAGGACTGGATTAGATACATTGACTTGTCACTACAGGGCAACCGATTTCATGTTGTCTAGTCCGGCATGCTGACTGAATTCTGTCTACCACTCTGTAATATGCTCACCAAACTTGAAGACTCACCATTCAGTCACGTAGGAGGTTGATCATGACCCTAAAAGCCCAGTTGAATGCAACACTGAGAGATCCAGGTGGAAATATTACAGGAGACATCACTCCCTTCCACGTTACAGATGTGTCTTGCTGACTACTGCCAAAAAGTTCAAAATTTTAGTCCAGTAGAGCTTTCTGCCAATTGCTCCAACCAAGTAACATCTACCTAAGTTCACCACGATGTTGACCCTCCTAGCTTAATAACCACACTATGAAATAATCAATTGAATTCGGTCATCACTTAGAACTAGGCAACAGGAAATAGGTTTGCTCTCCAGTGACCAGTCAATATAACTAATGTAACTTCGGTTAGATGTATCTACATCCCAGTGGCGTTTGAGGTGATAAATACTGGATTCAAGCCTCTGTAGGAATAGCATCACTTAGTGGGCCGGAGGTACACCTAGTTCATGAGTCCCATATGGGACGAAGCATGCAGCCTGGATTCCACCACGAGTCATCCTTTTTTTAAACTGTGACTGAGAACCTTTTTGGTCTCAATAATTTCAGATTTAAATTCCCCTTCTTCTAGTTTTCCGCATTTCATAACGAAATTTCTGGAGTATCTTTCTTGCTTAAAATTATTTCCATTGATCCTGAGTTCTTTCTCTCATAAAAAGTGTATGGATCCCAAACACTTTCATTGATTAGTTAATTTGAAGTGTAAGCTAGTAATCATCTTGGTAACTTACAGTGGAATTCAGGACGCACGTTTCGTCCGTTATGGGACTGGTCAGTTGGTTGTACCTATGCCCATTGAGTGACGTTATTTTCATTGAAATTCGGACCGGAAACCGATCGTTTCAGACACCAAAACGTTATTCACTAATCTACTACTATAAGGTGGTAAATCAAAGCCATTCTTGAAGTATAATTCGTCGGACTGAAAATATACTTTATCACTTGACTATTTGAGTGAGATAGCATTGGTTTGGCAGAGTAGTATTACTGATACTAGGGGATGAAGGTGAAATGGAAATTTGGACCGCTGCTGGATTCGAACTAGCGACCACTGGGTTACCGGCTCAGTGCTCTATCGACTGAGCTACGAGGTCCGACTGCTGACCAGAATTTTATTTCCCTTCAATCACCAAGGGTTCGCCCGACCACCATATGAATTCGGCTTAGATAGTCAAAACGATGATCAACATGATGCTCCCCCTCTCATCCTAATTCAGATAGATTTGGACTGGAATGAGAAGTCCTGACTAGGTAGCCAGGATGAATACGATCAAGCGGTAGTAAAGCACCATGAATTCACATGTTAATCGGGCAAAACCCTTGGTGCTGGAAGTGAAATAAAAATGTGGTCAGCAGTCGGACCTAGTACTTCAGTTGGTAGAGCAGTGGACCGGTAACCTGGTGGTCGCTGGTTCGAACCCCCACATGGAAATATACTGTTTTCAAAATTAGTCATGAAATTCTTCATACAATTTCTGCACTAACCGGATCTGCTTTGTCATCTTCCAAGTTAGTTTACATCAAGTGTAGATCTCACAATATCGAGACAGAATAAACTGCAGATTTTATAATATCTAAAAATCAATATTATCCCGTTTTCCTTTGTTGTCAAGGTAATTTTACAATTTTTCTACAGTGACTAATCACTGAAGATATCTTATTTTAGATTTCTCTCATTGTATGAGTCTACTTCCATAAGTCATAATTCATCTTATAAAAAGAAATTCTTTTCATATAGGGGGGTAGAACATAGGGAAAATTGAAAATAAATTCCTGTTCTCACCAATATATATGTAAAAACTTTTCAGCAGTTCCACAGTATAACTAACCTCTGATAGACGATAAATGTAAGCTAATAGGATAAAATGTTACATCATTTTATCAGTGCAACTGCTTGCAAGTTATATTATTAACCTTTACTGAACTGAATTCATAAGATTCTACCTATGAGTGAACAATTAAAGTAAGTGGTCTAGTGGAGAAATCCAAATACAAAACAGTTGGTAGGTAGGTAGGTAGGTAGGCAGGTAGGTAGGTAGGTAGGTAGGTAGGTAGATAGATAGATAGGTAGGTAGGTAGGTAGGTAGGTAGGTAGGTAGGTAGGTAGGTAGGTAGGTAGGTAGGTCTACTCTGATTCAAATCGAGCATTTAGTTTACATTATCTAATATGAAATATATTGGTCGAATCCTATTATATGGTTGTTGAAGTAATTTCATAAAACATGCAATAATACCAATTTAAGTTGTCTAATCTGTGTGAATGGAAAATAACTTCGTGATCAAATTCAACCTAGTACAATTTTGTGGTAGTGAGAAAATCTTCTGCTGCTTCATCCTCACTTTCACAGTCAACATTTGTTCCAGTGGAAGAAGTCCTACTTCTGACCAACTTGAAATATACCCAAAGTCTACCATTTCTATACTACCAGTTTTAGCTACTGAACATCATTTAGATTTCACGGTCACAGTTACTAGCCGGTCCTAAACCACGATAAAAAGGGAAGGTTGGGCATAGAGCTAGCAACCCTACCCCGTAAAACCAATCCAACCGCTAGAGAAACTTCAAAGCACAAAGAAAATAAAAACAATGAAAACAATATTATTCCTCGCTGGAATCGGAGAGATGAAAGGACGCTGGTTGGTGAAAGTTTTCGGGAAGCCAATTGGCAGATGTATCTTCGCTCTCTGGATGAAAGCAAAAGTAAGAATGGACACATAGAATGTCCGCACCATGTATGAACCTTGCAAGGCTGCCCAGATTGCAAGAGAGATAAGAAGGTATGGTATAGAAGTTCTATAAATCTGTGACAGCAGATGGAATTCAAGTGGACTCTCCAAACTCTTAACTGGAGATTCAAATAATCTACTCCAATATTGTCACCCAGACGACAACCATGAGCACACTGAGTTTTGGAGTGACTATCATGATGTCCCCAACAGCATCAAAGGCTCACATATAGTGGGAACCAATCTTCTGCTGTAGGATCATGATAGCAAGATTCAACTCAAAAGGAGGGAAAATTGCACTCATACAATGCTACGCTACGCACATATAAATAATGCAGATCAAGAGAAGAAGGAGGAGTTCTACAGACAACTGCAACCAACACTGGACAGCACCCCACCCCAGTTGGTGACATCAAAATTCTAATAGGTGACATGAATGCCAAACTGGGAGCGGACAACACAGGAAGAAAGCTCATCATGGGTCAAGAAGCACTCGATGAAATGAATGAGAACGGAGAACTGTTCGCAGGTTTCTGCGCATTCAACGATTTGGTGTTTGGAGGCGAGGCAGTGTGTACAAACACAAGGATATTCACAAAGCGACATGGACTTCACCAAACACCAGGACACACTAAAAATCAGATTGACTTCATCTCTATCTCAAGAAAGGGATGCAGTCTACTGGACACAAGATCAAGAAGGGGAGCGGATGTAGGCTCAGACCACTAACTGTTAGTGCTAGAAACCTTTAAAATCAAGTTGAAAGCCTTCAAATAAGTTGGTGATAGACCATAGTTCAAGTTCAACACCCGGAAACTGAAGGATGAAACTATAAAGGACATCTTCGCGTCAGCCATCAGGACAAAATGTGAGACATTGGGCAACATCCCCGAGGAAAACTACATGGAAGAACACTGAAACTGCGTGAAAGAGACGTGGAAAGAAACCTGCATAACCGTATTAGGAAGGAAGAAGAAAGAAGATAGGGAATGGATCTTGACGGTCACATGGAAGCTGATAGGGGAGGGAGAGGAAGATGGTGAAGGAGAAGATGAACCAGTGTAGTGCAGGGATGAATAACGAAGAAAGGAACTGAACACAACCTATAAAACACTACACTGGACAAAGAAGTGAAGAAGAGTGCGTGCACGATAACAAAAGACACTTCTGCCACGACACACTTGCAGGTGAAGCAGAACGGGCTGATGGTAGGAGAGACAGAGACCTGACAACACCATTAAATAACCAGGTTACTATCCGCGAAAAGATCAACTCATATGGAACCAATGAAAGACAATGAACAAAAGCTAGTTACCGGAGAGGAGAAACAAAGAAAACGATGGTCTGACCACTTCAGAAACCTCCTGAACTCACCACCACCACGTGCAACTCGTCAAGACATACCACCGGCAACCGCAGAGTTACCAGTGAACACAAGCCCTCCGTCAAAAGCAGAAGTCCTGAACGCCATAAAGCTACTGAAATGCGGGAAAGCAGCAGGACCAGATGGAATTCCTGCAGAAGCACTGAAAACATATGCAAAGACAACAGCAGACGTGCTCACACCACCACTGCAGAAGGTTTGGAAGGAAGGAAAGATGCATGCCCACTGGGAGAAGGGCTACCTTGTCAAACTCCAAAAAAGGGAGACCTAAGTCATTGCAGGAACTGGCGAGGAATCGTGCTCCACCTCTGTCCACTCCAAGCGAAACATTATACTGCATCATACTGGAGAGGTTAAAAGGTGCTCTCAATTCAAAATTACGACCAAGGCAAGCTGGCTTCAAGAAGAACAAATCATGTGCAAATCAAATTGCAACGCTACGCATCACCAAAGAACAGAGAATAAGACAGCAGTCAACTTTCTACCTCAAGTTCATTGATTTTGAAAAGGCCTTCGATCGAAGCGTCGACTCAAAAGTAATTTGGCAACCAGCTGCTTCAATACTACGGTTTTAGTGCAACAAACATTTATCAACCTCATTCAACACCAGCTACATATGTGTTATATGATGAGGCTACATGCTACACGTCAAGTGATTTATAATGCAAAGCTCAGTGATGCCTCTGAAGTGAAGACAGTGGACAGGAGTAAGACAAGGTTGCCGCTTACTATCACCAATCATCCTACCCGTTGTGATCGACTGCACTCCAATGGACTGGATGATGCGAGAAACAACTGTGAGGACCTGTGAGAAGATGGACATACACTGTTTGACCAATGAAAAGATCCCAGAAGATTTGAATGTCGCCAACGATCATGATTTATGTCTAACGTCTTGTCTCACAAACTCGAAGATGTACAAGCAAAAACCAACAAGTTGACGGAAGAGGCGAGGTGAGGTGAGGTGAGGTGAGGCAGCCAAGGAAGACGGGCCTTCCTTCATGTGAACGTAGAGAAGACAGAGGTGATGAAGATACCCAATCAACAATATCAACAACAAATATCAACCACGATCAACGGGAGAAACTTAAGGGAAGTAGCCACTTTACCTACCTAGGCAGCATCATTTCGATTACAGGTAGGGGCACAGATGAGGACGTCAAAACCAGCTGGCATCGGAAAGACTGCAAGGCAGATCTTCCTGCGTCAATCTGAAACAATCAGCGTGGAGATCTGCTGCACTCAGCATAAAGCGTGGAAAACATCCAGATTTTCAACACCAACATCAGGTCAGTACTTCTATGCGATGGTTGAGAGATTTGGCGCATCAGGGAAAGCATTTCCAACAAACTGCAGACATTCATCATCAACAGCTGCCGCATACGCCTACACTCACTCGATACTAAAGATCAGATGGATGGCCAGAAAGAATAAGCAACAAGGAACTCTGGTATAGCAAAGAACAAAAGAAGAACCTATCACCCAACAAATATGCAGAAGGAGAAAGTGGAGATGGATTGGATTGGGTAAACACTGAGAAGACGGTTTGGGAACATCTTGTGCCAGGCAAGACAGGCCCTAGAGTGGGGTCCGCATGGGAAACTATGAGTTGGGCTTTCAGGTGAGAGGTGACTTGGAGGAGATGGTGAGAGGAAGAAATGAAATCTTGTGGGCAGTGGTGGAGTTAGGTTGAAAAGACTGCGGAGGCGGAGTGTAATGGTGACGTGCTACTGAAGGCGTGTTTCACTAGGAACCCAAGGGAAAAACAATAAAATTGTGTCAACAGGCTCCATGGTCATGATAAGTTTATTCCGTTGTGGAAATGATTTATACTGAAAGCGAAAACATGAACATAGATCTGACAATAGACATTTACATATTAATCAACCTTAGGGGTTGACTGCAGCCAAAATGGCTTGATTACAATGCCTGGGGTTAATTTGGTGAATCAGGACATTTCAAACCTGTGAGAATGTGTCAATCTCATTGAGGTAACTAGATATGTTTTATTGATGAGTGTTGAGAAAAAACGATGAAACTCACTTTGGCAGCTCCTTTTTTCGACTTTCTCTAACCGTACAGCAAAAAATAATGACAAAGCAACTACATGTACGTATATGTGCATGAAAATAGACTAAGTTATTGTTTTGTACATTAACACAAAATTCCAAATCTCTACATTCAATACAATAGACAAAATGAAGTGACTTTTAAGCCCACTGAAATGACCAATTAGGCATTTCTGTTTTGTGAAAATCTTCATTCCGAGACGAAATGAAGAAATTTAGTTGGTTATTTTGATTGCTCCTGGGGTGGCCTTAAAGTAGCCTAGAAAAAGAAGGGGAAATAGTTTTTATGCCCTCTCTGTAAACTTCTAGTACCCGCCATGTTGCCACGTGAGGTTAATGTAGCACTTTGTATTCAAAATATCACCCTAATAACTGATGGAAAAGCCAGTTACATTCCTTTATTTTACGGAAAACTACTTATCCAGGAGAAATATCGATTGATCATTTCAGCAGTTACTAAGATGGCTTTAAGTCACTCTAAAGTCGCTCATTTCATATAGACGCGCTTACGTGTTTTCTAAGGTGAGACTTTAAAGGCCATCCTAGCAATGGTCGAAACAACCAATTCATTTTCTTCATTTCGCCTGGGTAGACAGATTTTCATAAAACAGAGAAGTCGAATTGGTCATTTCAGTTGTTGCTAGAGTAGCCTTCCAAATTGGAGTGACTTTAAACGCCACCCTACCAACTGCTAAGATAACCAATTAGGCTTCTCTATCTTATGAAAAACTATCTACCTAGACGGAATATCTTAATCTGATTGGTTATTTCCGCAGTTGCTAGGGTGGCCTTTAAAGTCACCCTTAAAATCGCCCCGTAACTAATACAGCGCTGTCATCCAGACAAGCAAATGCACTAGATATGCCTACCACGACAGGCTGTTTAATCTCATACTAGAGTATTTCTTTAGGCTCCTATAAGGTTGTTAAATAAACTGCCCATCTTAATGACCCAACTATGTAAACTTTTTATCTGTATATAGTTACCAGTACGATTAGTATTCGTTAAATATTCTAACTAACCAACAAATAATATACTATTGACTAAAATGAACACTTGTAGGCCAGTCACATTGATCAGCAATGCTCACCAGTCAAAACTGAATATTTTGGCGTTCATAGGAAACCACGATGAGATTTCTCACCTGGATATCAGAATTCTTTGACTGTATCACGTGATTTCTGAATGAAAATTATGATTGACTGGTCGACTGATAGGCGAAATTTTCATTACATTCTATTGTTGTTAAATATCACTACAAAATTACTGAAATGACAGTGTAATTATCCTAAATAATTTACTATGCATAATCATAATTTATACAGTAAAGTGAATATTTGTTTTACTAAAACTTACCTACTTTGTTCATTCCTAATCAAAACCTTTTCCTCTTCTTCTTTGAAAGGTTCTGATTATCAATGTGATGTAGCAAAATGTGCCAATATTCATTATGACTGGATCAATAACTAACTTTCTTGTGACCAATATTAACCAATCAGAACAGAGAAATATGACCTTACACAGAGGAAAATCAGCCTATCATATTAAAGGAAACAACCAATGATCTTTCAATGGGTGTGAAGGATAATTCTCTTTTGTATATTGTTTTTTTAAATCGTTTATTTATCATAATAATACTGAACAATGTGTAACGATTATTGAACAAGATGTGAAACACATTTAAACCGGTGTTTTTCAATAATTCACCAAACCAATAGGAACTGCAATACTATTCATCGATTATGCATGTGTTCAGTAAAATGTGAATCAGTTCCGTTTATCTAAGACAGGTATAAAAAGAAATTTGAATAAACTAGAATTACTTGAATTTCGGAGGCATTTTGTAATATATTACAAATCCAAACCAGAACCTCTGCAACGCAATAAGAACAGTACACTTGCTTCATCCCAAATTGAGAGTCTTCATCAGCATGGTCTGTCAAGCACTTCTAAAGTTATGCCTATCACCGACTGGTATACTCATAGTGACCTTTTTATATAATCAGTAGATCGGATGTCAGTGGTCTGTATTGGCCAACTTGATATGAATAATAGCATAGCTTGATTGACAACCTTATGTGTGTGACGAGTGCCTTTCTGAAATCCCTGTTTGATGGCTGACATAAATACGATGAGAAATTCCGGAACATTCTCTTTCAATTTTTGGCATTACTGATGGATGGTGGTTAGCAGTGGAATCCAGTACGCATATTTACACACTTACCCCTCTAAAACCATGGTACGCAAGTCACACAAGGACTGCCTAGTGGTTAAGGCCTCAGCGTTTGAAGCAATCGGTACTAGGTCCGAGTCTTAGTGGGAACGACATCGCTCACTAGAAGGCAGGTATATCCGGCTGACAAGTCTTAAATGTGGCGAAACGATCATCCTGGATTCCACCACCAGTATCAATTAAAATTACCGGCAATATTGAGGCATCCGGAAAGCAGCCCGTTTGCCAGTAGTGTCTGGTCAGTTTGATTCACTAGACGACGAAGACTTGCAAGCCATAACATCTAAACCAAGTCTCTCCCAACGTTTATTATCAGTATTACTAGCTGGTTTAGTAATACTAAAAGGGATGGCTTCAAACTCTGGTAAACAACCAAAGACAACAACAGATAATTGATGATCGTTTTGAACATTGCTAACTATGTTGTTATAGCCTGTAGTTTTCCATTTTTGAGGCACATGTATGCAGCTGATGAGTCCCAAAATGGATTCCACTACACACATTTTCAAGAGCAGAATTTTGCATATAAAGAAGCCGACTTGTACTTCTTTCATAATCGTACCAGATTTTGTAGCAGTCAGCTAAATTTAACCAACAGACACCAATCAATGTATTTTGAGACGTTTGTTTACAATATCAAATAGTAATTTTCTTCGGAGTGCGTTGTTATTTGAGCTGGGGTGTTAGCCGATGAACGTTTCAATATCAGCTTAGACATTGTCATCCGTACGTGAGAGTTTGGTTTATCTCCTTGTCGTTTATTTATTTTTAATGAGCTAGTACTCACAAGCGAGGAAACAGTCGTCGTAACTGAAGGAGAGATCATCACTCATATCTAATCAAACACCCATATTCAATCAATTAATACGAAAGACAAACTTCTGTAAAAACTAATCAGCTAAGAATGTCAAAGGGCACCTCTCATGTTGGGTCATGTCAACCAAAGAGATCAAAGTGACATGCATCCATTGAGTCAAATGAGACCAAACACTTAGAAGGACTCTAAATCCCAGCGAGACAGTTGCTGAAATAACCAATTAGGTTTCGTTCTTTTGTCTAGAGAAATAATTTTTCTAATAAGATAGGTAAATTTGATTGGTCTTCTCTCAGCAGATTTTAGGTTAGAGTTGTTCAATTAATAAAGAACGAAGTGACCAAAATTAACCAATCAGACTCAAAAAACACTCACCAAGCAACCAATCAGGTCACATTAGGTCATAGTAATATGTCATAAATATAAATGCACAATCCATGACTTCACTTCCTCGTGAAGCTCTGATATGTCGATTATACGGCATAAAAAACTGCTCTGGAATGCTAGTCAACTAAAAACTCAAAATTAAAAATATAAGCAGCCGTAGTAATAATGTTCATGCAGGTATACAAACTAGTCTCGACCAGTGACAGAACCATCCCATCAACAGATTTTATATAAGAGTATCCTTAGTGCAGTTGTCACCTATACCAATGAAAGAAACCGGGAATGCAAATTAATCCAAAAATGCAAATGTAACTTGTTCAAGATGTGTCTTAAACAGAAATAAATCTAAACCCGTGAATTTAAACAATGTTTCTTCAAATATTCACAAGTATTTTAACCAGGAAATTCCCCAGGGCTTTTTGAATGCAATCCGAAAGCTGGCTAAGTGATGTCTTTAAAGTGAAGACAGTGGACAGGAGTAAGACAAGGTTGCCGCTTACTACCACCAATCATCTTACCCATTGTGGTCAGTTGCACTCCACTACACTACACTCCATTACACTACACTACACTACACTACACTACACTACACTACACTACACTACACTACACTACACTACACTACACTAGACTGACTGGACTGGACTGGATGATGCGAGGAACAACTGTGAGGACCTGTGAGAAGATGGACATACACTGTTTGACCAATGAAAAGATCCCAGAAGATTTGAATGTCGCCAACGATCATGATTTATGTCTAACGTCTTGTCTCACAAACTCGAAGATGTACAAGCAAAAACCAACAAGTTGACGGAAGAGGCGAGGTGAGGTGAGGTGAGGTGAGGTGAGGTGAGGTGAGGCAGCCAAGGAAGACGGGCCTTCCTTCATGTGAACGTAGAGAAGACAGAGGTGATGAAGATACCCAACCACCACAACCATCACCACCACCACCACCACCACCAACAACAACAACAACAACAACAACAACAACAACAAGAGGCACCAATCACCACCAATGGGAGAAATGTAAACGAAATTGTCTCTTTCATCCACCCACCTAACTAGGCAGACAGCATCGTCTCAACTACAGGTGGTGCAGGCACAGATGAAGTTGTCAAAGACAGCCAGACAGCCAGGACCAGAAAGAACGATATAAGCCTTTCTGCATTGATCTGAAATCAGTGTGGAGACCTAATGCACTACACTACACTACACTACACTACACTGCACTACACTACACTACACTACACTACACTACACTACACTACACTACACTACACTACACTACACTACAACACAATACAATACAATACAATACACTCAGTATAAAGCATGAATAAGGTCAGGATTTTTAACACTGATTCAGTTAAGTGAAGTAAGTCAGTGTTTCTATGTGATGGTTGAGAGATTTGGCGCATCACGAAAAGCATTTCCAACAAACTACAGACATACATCAACAGCTGACGCATACGCATACGTCTACACTCACTCGATACTAAAAATCAGATAGATGGTGAGAATAACAAGAATAAACAAGGAGGAACTCAGTGTGGCTGGCAACGAACCAACCAAACCAACCAAGAATCTATCGCCCAACAAATATACAGAAGGAGGAAGTGGAGATGAACTGGATTGGATTGTATTGTGTATACACCGAGAAGACGGTTCGGGGACATCACGTGTTAGATCACGTCAGGCCAGGCCGTCTAGGGGAATCCAAATGAGAAACGATGAGTTAGATCGTCCGAGGTGAGGGTGACATGGAGTAGATGGTGAGAGGAAGAGATGAAATCTTGTGGGCAGTGGTGGATTGAGGTTGAAAAGAGTGCCGAGAACGGAGTGAAATGGTGGTGTGCTACTGAAGGCGTATGTTCCACTGGGAACCCAAAGAACAAAAATAATAAAAAGCATGCAGTCCACCAGGAGTTTAGATTGAAATTGACAAAGTCAAACAGAATTTTCAACAAAATATTCAACATGATTTTTTCTTCCAACGACAACTATTAAAAGTAACATACAATCAACTCTGTAAAAGAGAGCTGACAGGTTAAACATTGCTTTAACCGTGATAGGAAGCGATCTAAATGAAAATCAACATTTTATATCATTAGCCGTAAACATAGATGTTTTCCTTTTTCATGTCACTGTGTGGTCAGGAATAATTTCGTTGGTCAATTTGTCCTACAACTGACCAATCGGAATAGGTTATCTAATTTGTGACCCAGTGGTTTTAAATGCTCATGAAAATGCATATGAGTGTATTTTTTTCTGAATAAAAACCCCCTGTAGTAGAGATAATGAGTTTTCTACATTTAAAACCCTTTCCAAGTTACTTTATCGATTTTGTTTTCTAAATGAATTTGAATGGATCAATTAAAACAATACTTGAACAAACAAAAAATATGATTAACTCATCTCCTTTTAAATGTACGCAAATTCCAAGAACTATGAATATACAGATATATTCAAACATACCTTATAAATTGGACGATAATATACTCAATTCGGTGTTTCAATAGCAATGGATGATAATACAAAATCAAAATAGTCCTAAGCTACAGAGAGAGAGGAATGTTTGAAGTGACTGAAAAGATTTGTTTCCTATAAGAAAGACGGTTCCGTATTCTCATCTATCGTTAGGATTCGGTCAGCATATAAGACTAGACAAGATGAAGTTGGTTGCACTCCACTGACCAATCAGTTCATCTAACCCAATCCTGTAGGAGGTGAATAGCAACTTGAATAGCTCAGCAGTAACGTCGCTAACTACAACACTGGATGACACGGGTTCGAATCTTAGACGGGACATTTGTTGCGTCGAGGTCACAGATGAACCTTGCTAACGAGTCCAAACAAGCAGAAATGCAATGTCCATGGCTTCCTGCCGATTGCCTCCAATCAACAAACACACACACATCAACTGCCGTTAAAGTGGCATGACGTATCATCCTTGGTCTCACTGCACCGAGACAATCAAAATTAGGCATGTTATGTTGGAATTGATTGATTTCTAAGTGTTAAACAACTACACCTTGTATCATTTGGGAAATCAAAGAAAACACAGAAGAAT